TCCTTGCTAGAGTTGGCGAAGGCAAGCCGTGCGAAATCTGTGCATGCTGGGATCCACAGTAGCACACGTTTTTACTCGCAACTTGTATGGCCTACGATGCGATTGTTAAAAGCTCCGGGTGCTTGTGTCGCCTTATTTTATTGTTATTCGTTGCTTCTGCAGTCTTCGAATGACTCACACCCGTATCTAAGAGTGAGCATGAAGACATCACTGTCTTCACCCGAGATCATCGTCCGCCTTCGATAAATCGCGAACAGCTGTTGGTCACATTGTAGTTACCTTCTAAAGATTTGGTCGACACAAAACGCTGCTCAAAGAACTCACAGTACGTTTCGTCATTTTTGCTCCTATGTGCCGGTTAGAGGATTAGAGTTGATCGCTAGGACAACGACTTTATTCACCAAACGTTTCGGATACCCTCGCGCTTCCGTCAGCAGAGACAATAGCAGAAACGGGTAATTAATGCGCACGATGTTGCAGTACTTAAAGGATACAGTCGCTATGCTACTGCGTACCCATGAAAATTAATGCCACCCATGGTTATATCGGTGACATCGGACGTTTGTCACCATCTACTTACGCCCGTTGGAATTCCTAAGAAAGAACACAATAAAAAGGGCGTTACTTTGGAATCCACTCTGGAAAAGGGTTTATTGTGTATAAAACCCGGAGTTGCTTTCTCGGGTGGCAGTTTCCGCTGGTTTATCTCCAGCGCTCGCCTTAGTGTCCCCGCAGTGGGGCGGGCTCTCGGTGTCCTCGCAGTCCGCGTTGCAACTTGCTGTCTGAGAGGTGACTGTGGCTTATAAGGGATTGCCATGCGCGTTCGCTTGTGGCACCATTGGGCGCTTGGGATAAGGTCACGCGACCAGTTGGCAGGTGCCTAGGCTTGCGTGGGTCTGTGTCCTCTCCAGAGGTTTAGGTCATCGCGTGGGCGCAACCCCCGCGAAGGAATGTGACCTTGAAGGCAGCCCTCTTGTTGACAAAGGAATTATTGTGGCAGTCGGCTGCAGGCACGACGCCTCAGGAGAGTTCGCAAGATTGCTAGCCTTTGGTCAGGCTACACTCCTAACACCCTCCCCCCAATGAAGGATAGTTGTCGGCTTGTACGCTTATTGCTTCATGGTCGGCCTGCGGTCGTGACCTGCTGAATT